TTTCTAAATGAGAACGACGTGTTAGAAGTAGGTAGGGTTAGGACCTGTCATTTGGTGTGTACAGAAAACAACTTACTGTTGAAAATCAACAAGAAATTGCTTTAATGAGGCAAAACACCTAAAAACATAAGCAGTGCCAGGAAGCCGGAAGATCAGTATTCAAGCTGTGGGACCTGATGCTTGTCCTTCTGGAATTGGACTGTTTGTGATTTCCCTGATCTTTAAATATTCTACTCAGTGTCTGGGCTCAGGGCATTTGTACACATCCCCTACTGCTGTGTATTTGTTTCTCATTTCCCTGTTGCTCCATATCGTTGTTAGCTCAAGCCAATTTTAGCTACTTGACCTCATACCTGGTTTTCTTACAAATAATTACCTATGCTTTCTAGCTTGCATGCCCTCCTGCGTCTGCTGCCTCTTTGGCCTTTGGTTTTGGCAATCTCTGTCTTCTATCTAAAGCTGATTTATGAGTTGGATCCTTTCTGCCTGTGAGTTGTCCAGTTGGAATCAGAGATATCTGGTTTTCCCCCCTGCCGGTGTGTGTAGCATGCGTATGCCTTGCCAGAATGCCATTCCGCAGTTAAAACAAACAGAGGTCACAACATAGAGACCTCTTTTACTGTGTTCTGAAGAGCAGAATTGTATCTAAAGTATAAAAATACGATGAGTGATGTTTTCTTTCTACCACGGCAGAAAAGCCATTGTCTTGAAAGCCCAAAATCAAATGTCAGAGGCACACAAACTTTTGCAGAAATTGTTGATCCACTGCCAGAAAATCAAGAACACTGAGATGGTGATTAGGTAAGAATGTTTAATTTTCAGACTATTAAAGCCACTTTGCAGTGATGAGAATCAGCTGTTTCAATTTGTCTGTGTTCAGACTTCACTAGTCTTCAGATTACCTACTATGATTTGGAGATTACAGAATAATTTCATTTATTAATCATGATATGGAGGAATCCTCAAAATATTGTGGAATTGAAACCTAGTAAACTTTAATATGGAAGCTAAAAGGTAGAAATCTTTATTTTAAAGTTCTGTGAAGACTTGGGAGAGGAGGAAACACTGCATCCAAAATAAATAGGGAATAGAAATGTGTGTAATTGTAGCCTGGTCCTAACCTTCGGAGTAGTTTCAGTGTTATTTAATCTTTTGTGTGTCAGTGGCATCTCCTCTTAAGGGTGTAACTGAATTTTATGGTATACGCAGTAATGTAATTCAGAATAAAACCCATACCATTATGGATGGAATAATTGGGGAACAAGTGGACATCTTTCATCAAAAGAAAACGTTTGCAATTCTCTCTCCCTGTTTTGGTTAGCGTGCTGCTGTCAATAGCAGAGCTCTACTGGAGATCCTCATGTCATACCATAGCGCTGCCCGTCCTGCTGCAGGCTCTTGCCCTCTCTCGAGAATACAGTCTGCAGTACTTGGCTTCTGAAACTGTGCTGAACTTGGCTTTCTCCCAGGTATGTCTGATTTGTGTTTTCACAGGGCTGAAGGCACCGTTTATTCTGGGGATCTGGATACTGGTTTTACTCCTGTGAGACTTAAGAACACAGCCTTGTAGAAATTAAATTATCGATTTTGAAGTAGTGTATTCTAAATGTAATATCTGTTGAGGAAGTTGTTAGAAGTTGAGTTTCATGTGTATTAGTAAGATGTGTAGTTATTGCATGTAATTAAGGAGGCAAATTTGCCCTGCCTTCATTTCTTTAGTTGTTATTTTTTCTGCTAGTATTTTGGTTTTCTAGTAGCACGGTTTGGCATGAGTTTGAATTAAAAATAACACTTGTAATGGAGTTCAGTTATAATGTTTATTCTGAGCTGGCAGAGACAGGGTTGTCAGCACTGACTGCAGCAGAGAAGCCATGCCTAATCATTTCAGATAGTAGCTCATTTCTACTAATAAGTTTAGATTTAAAAGAAGATTGTGGGGGAAAAATTTACGTCCTTGCCTGTAGTGTGTTACGTTATTAGAAACAGACGTGGCTTATGTTGGTCTTCTCTGAGGAAGCTGCTCTCACCAGTGGATTCTGGTATTAGACCAGCAAGTATTTCTCTTTCAGCTGATCCTTGGAATTCCTGAACAAGCCCTGAGTATTCTGCACATGGCAATAGAACCTGTCTTGGCCCACGGAGCTGTCCTGGACAAAGGCTGTGCCATGTTCTTGGTGGCCAAATGTCAGGTGGCTTCTGCAGCTTCCTACACTCCACAAAAGAAGATTGAAGGTAGCGTGAAGAGGAATTCTCCTCACTGAAACTGTGCTCAGAAGTCGAGCAGTGCAAACCAGTGTACATATTGGAGTCCTGCTGCACCATCGCTGTTAAAAACGTTTAAGTGATACAGCAGAGTGTGTTTTACCTAGCCTATCGGATGGCAACATTAATTTGGAGTTAGTTATTCAATAGATATTTATAGTGTTTATGATGGAATCTTGTTTATCTGCATACTTTCACACCCATATTTTGCAGCAAAGGCTGAATAACAGAAACTAGCTGAAAGACCATGTTGCTAAGACACAAAATGTTTTGAAAAGCTGAGGAATTTCTAATTGGGCGCCTTAGAACTGAGCTGTGCTGCTTGGAGTTGTTATTGTGATACTATCTTAAATATGACTGTCCCCCTTTTTTTCCACAGCTTTGGAATCTGCAATCTTGAATCTAAATGAAGCCAAGACTTATTTTGCCAAAGTGGACTGCAAAGAGCAGCTCAGGGATGTTCTCTACTTCCAAGCCCGGCTGTTCCACACCCTAGGCAAGACCCAGGAAAGGAACAAATGTGCCATGTTGTTCCGTCAGTTGCACCAGGAACTGCCGGCACATGGTGTCCCCTTAATCAATGCCTTCAAGTGATGCAGTTAAAGATGAGATTTGTTTTGTTTTGTTTTGTTTTTTTTTTACAAATGTCTTTTTATTATATTCAGTCATCCGTGTTTCCAAATAACTGCCAATAAATCATGGTCTTCTGTTGAACAAACTTGCGTTTTGTTTGTAATGACTTAACTAAAGTTTCCACCCATTTCACTTTTATTCTGTACTTGGAATTAAGAGTAAGAATGGGGGAAAAAAAAGAAAAGGCTCTCTTGACTGCGTTATAAACACGCTGAGGGGAGTAGCACAGTCACGATGAAATAATATCTGTTCTTAGTAGTGACATTTTCAGAATCAATGCTGGCTTTATGAAGCCTGGGGTACAAAAAATAGTGGAAAATGTAGGCGAAGCTCCTCTGTGCTCATTTTAAGCAGTATAGAACTGGGAGTCTCATTTAAAACATGTCCTTGCGTTTAACCTGTCCACAGTCGCTGTTTGCTCTCTAGACTAAACTACTCTGGTGCTGGCGGAGGGGAAAAAATCCAGGATTCAGTTGGAGAGGTCTAATGGTGCAGAGTCCTGGCACTGCTTTACATGTGTCCTTGTGCAAAGAGTAGCTGAGAAAAGTTAGTGCTGAACAAAATCTACGGTTCAGCTGAAATGTTTTCACTGTCTGTGTTCTCCCCTAGGTGCTGTGTGTAATTTACCTGCTCTGGTTTCATGGGTGAATAAATGATCACAACTCACTTGGTATCCGATATGCTGCCCTTGACTTCCAGCAGTTAGAGCCTCGTTTTTGGAAGAAAATCTCATTTATGTAGTGTGGGATTTCAAGGCAGACGGGCTTGCACTTTTGGGAGTGTAAACTTTCTGCAGGTGAACCTTGGGGCTGGGGGTGCCGGACCTCTCACCTTGTGACTGTATCAAGGCAGAACATCATTAGTGTAAACGCCTGGGAATGCCCTGCTAGGAAATGCTAGATTAAACTGGCATTGGCAGCAAGGAGAAAGCAAGACCAGACCTAAACCTGGCTCTGCTGGAGCCCTGCCAGGTGAGGCAGGAAGGGAGAAGCTCTAAGGTGTGGTTGAAACAAGGGTAGTCCCGTGTTAGTTAATCCATCTCATTAATTAGCCTTGCAGCGTGGCTGTTGGCAGATAATCAGTGCCTTGATCTTAAAAACCGAGTCTAACAGTGACAAGTAACCCAGCTTTGTGGGAATGCTGGGTTTGGTGGCTTGCCCCCTCTCACAGCTACACTTTAATCAGCACCAAGGAGTTTGAACCGTAAAACTTTTAGAGCATCTACTATTTTTACGGTAAGTGCATAAACTTGATTTCTAGAGTGACTTTTGAGATCCTGGTCAAAATAGCAGCGTTTATCCATAAAGCTCAGATGGAAGCATGGTCCTACTGCCAGGAGCTCCGCAGGGTCGAAGTGGGACGCCCACAAGTTTCCAAGCAAAATGAGGAAGAGGGTTTGTGTCAGCTGTGGTTTTTGCACCTGCTCAAGGTTGAAGCTGCTGCTCCGTGAGGAGTCGATCAGGAAACTGCAGGTGAGCTCGGCACAAGGAGGGTGAATGTGCTCGATAAGAAAAAACAAATAATTAGCAGGGACAAAACAAGGGAGATGTTTACAAAGGGCTGGTGCGAGCTAAAGGCCGTGCCTGTGTGGAAGCGTCGCCTCTGTCTGGGCGCTGCAGAGCTGGAACCTGAGCGGGAGCTGGGCCCGGTGGCTGCTGTGCCATTTCCAAACAACTGGGGTTTGTTTTTTAACCCCCCCTTTGGGTGATGATTTTTGGAAGCGTTGTGCAACCGTTTAGTGAGGGGCTAGAGGAGCTGATGGGGGTAACCCAGTCTTCACCCGGTTGACCTCACGCTGGAAATTCTCTGCACAAGGGCAGGAGGGAGGGAGCCCCGGGACGGGCAGCGGCGGGAGGAGGTGGGGGGGTATTTCTGTCCCTCTGGGACCTGGGGTGCGGGGTACCCCGGCTGCATCCCGCGGCTGCGCTGCGAGGTAAGGCGGGGCCGCGCAGCCCGCGGCCGGAGTGGGATGAAAAATACTATTTA